TTCAAACTCTAGTTTGTTTGTCTACAAAATCAAACTCTGAAAAACGGGAACTCTTGTCCGTCTGAAAACCTAGGTCTCGGTTTGGTTAAAGTGAACTCTGATGCGTTTAATGACGGAGTTTGGAAATTTATCATGGGCTGAAAAATGTACCGTTTGACACATTTTTAATGGCATTTTAGGTCTGAATGTTAAGGGGTTAAACAACGGAAGAAACGTTTGTTGCGATGAGATGTTACATTACATGCAGTTACAAGTATTGATACTGAAGCAAAAACAAATTTATTAATGTTTTTCATATTTACTTTTAATGTTTTTGTATTAAAACTGAAATTTGTGGAGGTATAATTTGAAAAAACTGAAGCAATATGATATAAAACATATCAGTAACGAGGCAGCGCATGGTCACGCAAACACACGTCTTCAGTAGGGTAGACCGTCTCATTTCACAGCCATTTATGCAGCCGACACCACCGGCCTACGGCCCACATAGACTGTGGCCTTTGTCAGCCGCGGTCTGCGTCGGCTGCAACCCATGAACTGAGACACAGCCCATGCTTGTTTACATATATTGTGAAGAAGGAAGTTGCACTCCATGTCTTCTTCTGAGGTTTTTGTGTCGATTCCTTCAGTTGTTCTTGGTGCAGCGCCCCCGCAGGTGAGGAGGGGGAACAGGTTGTCCACAGGATTTAGTTGTTTGACAAAGTGCAGCGTGAATGTGAACCACATCAACTGAAAATGTAAACAAATTTTTAAATTTTGGTCCCCAATCAAACCGAGTCTACCAAGAGTTTTATTCCAATCGGTTCATTTTGCTAACAGGTATAAAATATTAACATAAATTAAACAATATTGAGGTTACTCTGACAAATATTAAGCGGCAACAAAGCTACGAAAACCACTCATTTAAAAGTTTAAATCAAGCTTTTCACAGCCATGTAATATTTTGCAGAACTTCATTATTATCCCGTTCAGCTGTAGCATGTTGTTACATCACACACAGACTCATTTATAAGTAATCACAGTTTGCTTGTAACACAACTCTTTCAACTGGGACTAATTTCCGTGGAGAAATTTGTTTCCTCTCTTCAGGTCTGTTTGATCTTTTGGCAGGACAGAACCATCGGCTTGGAGCCGGACTGATTGGACCTGCTCTGCCCCATGATGCAATCCAAATTTTTTTTGAACACGCTGGGATTTAAATTATTCAGTTTAGCCGTGCGCTAAGGGAACATCAGCGTTCTTGGATTTCATCCGCTGATCAAATTAAAGTGAGAAGAAGAAGAAGAAGAAGAAATGTTACTGTATCAGAGTTCAGCTGCAGTAGCCCCCTCCATGTGGAACGGATTACCGGGCTGGACGTATGGCCCTGATGCGCAGGTACGACACATCCTCCATCAAATCCAGGTCTTCTCTTTGCTATATTATCCTCTCAGCTTCCACACCTGTCTCAGAAACGTGACGGTGACTTCCTGTGATGAATCACGGAGGATCGCTGAAGCTTCTGGTCTGCTCTGATCTGCACTTTCATCTGCAGTGGAAACACGACACGGCGCATCTTTGATTTATACCCCCCTGAACCAGCCAGCACTGATCATTTATTATTATTTTTGATAGTTTTGGCAAATATAAAACAGAGAAGCAAGTGGTGAYATTTTAATGAAAGCTCCTGCAGTCTTAGGCCTCTGCTCTGAAGAGGCAACATCAGGACGAAGCTCTGATAAAACAAAGGCAATCAGATCTAAATTCAAAGTCACCCAGTTCAGCTCAAATTTTTACCTCACAGTTGCCCCCAAAAGCTCCCACACACCACAGCAACCATGAAGGGCATGTTGGCTCCGTTAGTGAGCCTTTGGTTGATGGCCTGTCACAATGTTTACATCACTCTCCTGGTTATTTTAGGGGATCGTTTTATATGTAAACATTGAAGAATGGCCATTCTCTTAAGTTTATTTGTATTTGTTTGTTTCTTGTTTCTTAGGATGCTCAGCCCGCCTCCTGCCCCACTGAGAAATCCATCAACCCCCCGTCTCCCAAGCATCCCCTCTGTCAAAAACACCCGCAGCAAACACACGAAGATCTTGGCAGCAACTTTCAAAGTATACTGCTTCAGTCCAGAGCACACTACAGATTTTCAAATTAAAACTGCACACTGTGATCCAGAAAACAATGTAAAATCACTGTGCAGCAATAAAAAGACCCTGCTCTCCAGCAGCAGCGGTTAGCGCAGGAATGCTGAAGTCATAGAGGCCTAAACGCGGGGCCTGCAGTGCTTAAAAAAAATAACGGAGCTATACGCGCTCATGTGTGCGTGCGTGCACACCGGAGCACCTGCATGCAATCCTAATTCTGTCTAAATCAAAAGCAGCTCCGATCACAAATAGTTCCAGCGTGAGTCAACAGTGTTTTGGTTACGAACAACCACCCTCTGTGGTTTCATGTGATCATAAAATTACACGTTCCCATCGTACGCTGGCTCCGGCTCAAACGCAAAGAGCTGAGCTACAGCAAGGATTCTGTCACAGGCCGGGGATCATTACATACATCCAGGAGGGAGGATCCAAACGAGACGATCCGACGAGGAGATAGAGGAGGTAAAGTCTGTCATCATCAGGTTCTGCGGGAGATCAGGAGTTAATGAGCTGAGAAACTGCAGATCAAATACGAGAAATGTTCAAAACCTCAAACATTATGCAAATGTTTTAAGCTGTTTTATAAATACATAACATCAGGTTTTTAAGAGATAACCTTTTTACTGCAGATTATATGTTCAAATAAAGCTGTGCTTCAAAAACACAACTTAAACACAAAAACAACAGATATTCATTTACAGATCATTTTAGACAAAATTTGTTTTGGATTTTCCTACACAGTTACTTCACCACAGCACTAAACATTTATTAGACTATGGAAGCTCATTTGCACCACTTTGAAGAATAAAATATCCTCTAAGTTATAAATATAAGATGCTGTTTTGATGATCTCAGTCACTGGATGCCAGGGGCGGTTCTAGGGGGCGGGGCCACAGCTGAAATCTGATTGGCCCCCTGAAGTGCCCCTRTCCTGTCACTCATCTGTCCTTTGCCCAAGAGCAATGATGGCAGATGCAATTCCATGTCCAAACACTAGAGGCACTAATGAGTCAAATAGAAAAGTCCAGCATGAAACAAGCTTACAGAAATCTTCTTCTCTTCTTAAGAAAATCAGAACAATACCGCAGAACGTCTTTCAACTGACAAATGATGACTAGGGATTTCAACCAGTTTATGGAGTAGTCAGAAATTCTTGAAAAGGAATTTATTAAATCAATAACCTBAGATAGAGAGCTCCCTGAAGATTGTAGAAAAAGTAGGACTTCATCAGCATAAAGACTAATTTTGTGTTCAATGTTCTTACATTGTATGCCTTTAATATCTGCAGTTTGCCTGATTGCAGCTGCTAAAGGTTAAATGAAAATAGCAAACAGTGAAGGGGACAGWGGACATCCCTGCCTGGTGCCTCTCTGAAGAAAAAATCTAGAAGAAGTTAAGTTATTTGTCCTAACACAAGCTGTTGGTGAGCTATATAAGATTTTTAACCAGTTAATAAAATAATTTCCAAAACCAAATTTACGCAGGGTTGCAAATAAGAATTTCCAGTTTACTCTGTCAAACGCCTTTTCTGCATCTAAAGACAGAATAGCCATTCCAATGTTTTTACTGTAAATTTTTACTGTAGATTTTCTCAAATGTTCTGTGTTTGAAAGTATTTTATCTAGTAAAGGTGTATGTAAAACTGGCAAAGGGAACTTATTGTGCAAGCTTCTTTTTTTTAAAAAGTATATTGGTTTTTGAAAGTGTGACTGGTTAAACATGAACACGTTACCAAAACTCTGGAATTGTGTGACAGATGGTTGAACAAATTTGACCTCTCTATAAATATAGTGGCCCCTTGATGGCCCCTTACTCAGAAAAATCCCAGATCCGCCACTGCTGGATGCACATCTAAAACTCATCAATGTTTCAGTTTCGGATGCTCTAGATCAGTGTTTCCCAAAGTTGGGATCGGGACCCAAAGTGGGGTCCCGAAACATCAAGATGGGGTCCTGAAAAGATTGGAGTGAGGTTAGTATATTTCAAATGGATAAATTTAGTATAAAACTATTGTTACTATGCCCATGTTTTGTTGACCTGATACAAATGTTTATCATCCAAAAATAGTTGGGGGCACAGGTCTCTGCTGCTGTTATTTTGTGGGTCAAAAGCTGAAAAGTTTGGGAACCACTGTTCTAGATAATCAACCTCAGCCATCAGAAAAATGACATTTGTGTGGGAACTGGATCAGCATTCAGTGTGGTGGTAGCTGAGAGTCATCCCCATCAATAACTGTGAACAGATCACACAAAGCTGCTGTTTAAAAACGTTTGCATGCAAGGCACGGGGTGAATTCTTTCAAAGGCTGCTGATTCATATTTAGGTTTGYAAAAATCTTTCTGCTACTTTTTCCTTTTAGTTCTTATGCTTCAGTTAAGCTTTAATTTTCCCAGTTTCAACCTGCAGCTTTCAGAGTAATAATAGTAAACAAACAGTAAACAAACAGCAAGAGAGACGTGATGGGTTAATTAGATTAGGATTAAAGAACATTTTCAGCCTCAGGCTGAGTCTTGTCACTTTGAAATAAATTATTTAAGAGCATCTTCAGACCCTCAGTCCCGCTGCAGTAACACTGCATGTCTGCAGGGGGCGTTCCTCTCAAACACTTAGTTCATTCACAGGATCAATAAAGCTGCGCTGATCTGAACCTGATTAATTCATAATAATTAAAATTATAAACAGACGCATCATTATTTGTTGCTGAAAGTAAACAATAAGAAAAAACCCGAATCTGAGGAACAAACAGGAAAAACAAACCGTTTGTTTTATTTTATTATTTTTATTATTATAGTAATTTTTGTTTTAATGAATGCGTTTTATTTTACAGTTAATGCCATATTTCATCAGTTTGTGTTCACGAGCTTCCCGCCCTGCTGGTGACGAGAATCAGCAGCTCTGCAGCCCCCGAACCGCAGGTTCTGCGCGAAGTTCCGAGTCTTGTTCTGGTTTGGGCTGGAGTTCGTGATGGGCTGGCTGTGGGACGTGCCAGGAGGTGTCGGTCGGACTGAAGGGCCCAGATAAAGAGGCGCGGAGCGGCGCGGCGGAGCGCAGAGGCGCGAACGGACCGGACCAGAACAGAACCCAGCAGGACGCGGGAGGACATGCTGCCGGACCTTCCGACCCATTAACGCGTCCGTCCCGGTTCTAGCAGCGCACAGACCTGCAGGAGGACCCATAACCTCAGCTGGTATTGGTGAGTTTCTTTGCTTTTTTATATATTTAATTAAAAATTTATTTTAAAGTGACTTTTATTTCTAAAGAAAGCAGCAGGTGTTTATTAACTCTGGATCAAAGTTTTGGATTATCTGTAATAGATGTTAAAGTAATAAATTAACAAGATAAATAGTTTTTTTTAACTGAAAGTGTTTTTTAAATAAAATAAATCTCCTCAAAACAGGTTATTTTGCACTCACAAACTTTCATTTTCAATAAATTTGAGTATAATATTTTCTAAAATTGTCCACAAGGACAGAAAACAACAGTCACGTTTTTTTTAAATAGTAAAAAAAAAATAATTACAACAGTTTTCCTGATATTTTAATTCAGTTTTCCCGCTGTTTCGTCAGAATAAACATCCCCACAGACATCAGCAGATAAAGAAACACCTTCACACTTTAAATCCTCACACGGCTCCGCCAACAGCAGCCAGGATCAAATGAAGTTTAAACTCATTAAACTGGTCTGGGGGGGTGAAATCTGACAGGTCAGGGGGTCACATCATGGTGAGGGGAGCCTCCAAAAATAATCCTGACTTTCAAGAAGACATGATCAGATTAAAGACGAATCTGCTGGCCTGGATTCACATCACCTGCTCAGATTCAGGCCTTTAACTTCACTGCTAAACAGCTTTTTTTAGGATTCAACAAGAAAAAAAAATGCTGATTGTTTTTAAATCAAATGTTAATTTCCGTTAAGTGTTGTTTTATGTTGGCGGTGCATTAAGTCTAATTTACAACAAAGGTCGTCTCTGGTCAATTTGTAAAGAATTATTTCAACTAAAGTTCGTTTTAATGCAATAAAAAACACATTTTAGTTTACTGTGTCCAGTTTATGTGTTTTAATGAAAAGTTAATATAAATAAAATCATCTCTCTCTCTCTCTCTCTCTCTCTCTCTCTCTCTCTCTCTCTCT